ACATGTTCATACACATACAGGGTATTCGAAGTTAGTCATTCATAATAACTTTTTGTCGTAAATGCAGACTGTTGGAATCTATAGTTCTTCAATTAGGCTGGGATTCAAAAACTAGAAGAATGAGGAGTAGTTGATTATTTCATGGATTCATAATGTAAAAGTGCCATTTGGGGACGATATTTATTTTATTTCTGTGCCACGTTATTATTGAAATCTCTAGATTTGACTCAAGATAATAGGTGAAAAAGTTATACCTATATGCGGAATCACCGAATACATTCAGTTTCACTTATTTCTTCCTGGTCTTTCCAAATTTGTGAATCGAATTTCAAAATAATCATATACAGGGTGATGTTTCCATTCGAAACTTACTTATATATTTCTTCAAGGCCGGCCTTGGAATGAGACGTATTCATTATGTCAATAATGGTTCACAGTGGTGGACAAAGAATACGCACAAAATAATATAAAAAATTTATCATGAAACGTACAATTAACTTTTATCAGTGTACCTGGTAGCTCTTCGTCGGCGGCATTTGAGTGTGGGTTGATAACTATGCTAATCTTTAATCATATCAACATATATGGGTTGCAGACTCATGAAATAACTTCAAGTATGAGTTTCATATAATCATGTATATTTTCGAGTTCAATTTTAGAAACCTATAGTCTGAATTCAGAGGGAGAGATATCAGTAAAAACATGCATGGCAACTTCAACAATATATACAGTTTTAATGATGAAGGTTATCTTCATGAGATACATAAGTAATTGAATAAACAATAGTAGAATATTATGGAAGCTTCTCAATAATTCCTGATGTTATCAGATATGATACTTATTTGATTGACACTTTCGTCAGATACGAAAGAAGAATAAGAGTAGACATTGTCTGACAGTTACAAGGTCATGACATAACCAAGCAGTGAAGTTGTATACAAAAACTATTGGAAATACAGAAATATTATAATCATCGTTCGATAGGAGGCCATCCACAAACACATCCGTGATATTTTATGATCGACCATAATACAGCAAGATTCAAGTTAGAAATGTCATCGAATAAAAGATTTGTGTTGCTTCTCTATTCAATGATCAGATTGATTGATTCAGATTGATTCATATTCAATTTGTTTCAGGATACATTCAACTCATGAGACACAAGGAGAGACAGCGTGGTATACATTGTGTTCAACTAGACACACCTCAATGAAGTATAAACCGGGATAGTTACCTCAGTTCATACATTACATCAGACACAAACGAACGTACCACCTGGTATATAAGAATCGTTGAGAAAGTATTGTACCCACGAATTGCTTGTTCTATGCATATCACGCTTTCATGTTAGTATCGGCTTGTGCGCAAATTTCCCAATCGTGCGTGATATTCTTTTTCCAACAGTTAATACGTAATATAGGGTAAACCAGTGAAATACGCCCCACCGGGAAATACGCCCCAGTCCGAGTAACATGAATACTATCTGGCAGCCGGTACAGTAGCCACCAGTCACTTCTGTTGTTTACTTTTTTTATCGTGGTGCGCCAGAAATTTCGGCCATTTCGGCACTTTTTCACTCGAAAATATTCACATTTCTGTCGTTCAAGGTCCCAGTCCAGCACCTGAAATTATACGGTAAGTAATTATTTTTCAAATTTCAATTTGTTTCTCAAGTTTTTTGTAATTTTGTTGAAGCCATGAGTAAATACGTTTTATAACCTATAAATTCCCATTTGTTCGTTAAGTTTGCGCCTTGCCTTGACCTATTAGGTAGGTGGGGCATTTTTCACCAGTGATTGTGAAAAACGCCCCAGTAGTAAAAATGCGAAAATATCCAATGATAAAGGCAGTGTCAAATCTAAAAAATCTAAATCACGTATTTCAAGTTCTTCAAGCTCCGAAAGTGAACCCATTCTAAGCTCTTCTGATGAGATGTCGGATGATACTGAAAACTTCTGTGTCGAATGTAGCGAATACTATTTTACTACTAAGTCTAAAGTTGACTGGATTCAATGTCCTAAGTGTAGTGGTTTGCTACATGAGACTTGCGAAAGTCACTTAACCACATGCAGTGGTGGTGCCAATAAAACACTTAAAAAGGTATAATTTTTTAAGTGGGGCGTATTTAACGAGTATAAGGGGGAAAACGCCCCATCGCATTATTTTTTTAATATAACTTTTTCTAAAAACTATGTTACTGTTTTATCAAAATGTGTTCAGCATAATGAAATATACCGTTTAGTTGATATATGTTTATGGAACTGAAATAAAAGATAAGTTTGTATTTTTGAAAAAATAAATTTTTGTCAAAATGTGGGGCGTATTTCACTGGTTTACGCGATCATATCACATCCACCTTTGTAAGAAGTTTCTATTATTGAATGAACTTGATCATACACGCTCTACATCGCGATTTCAAATCATTGTCCACAGCACACCCTGTTACCAACTTCCCAATCCACTCGATCCTGGGCTTTCTCCTGCTCAAATTGAAACAGAAACTTTCGATTTTTGCTCTTTCACAGCAGTTGGAAATGTTTACGAAAGTTGTGAATCGATTGCTCCCGTGTATCCGTCAGTGCTTCGAGGGATCGACAGAGGTTAGGTTTTCCTCACTCTGGGAATTGCTCGTCACGTCGAAATCCACCGACAGAACGAAAGGGCGGACCTTTTGACTCACGCGATCCTTGGATTTAATGAGGGCTGGGGAATGGGGACCACACTTCCGTAATTCGAACCGGTAGTTTGTACAAGATGGTACATAGCAAAAAAATCCAGAACTGTTCTCTAACAACAATACAGCCATATGGAATCTCAGTGACAGCTTAAACTTACACTGTAAGAAATCCTTTTGAGTGACTGCAAATTTGGTAATGAGTTAATCTACTGAGTGAATTTTTTGAGTAAATATTCAATGAAATCTGGGTATTTTCACAATTCCTTCCAATTATGACAATGTTTATGACAAATTTGATTGAATAGCACATATTTTGGAATAAAACAAACAAGAAAACCATACTAGAGTGGCTCTTACTCAATCATTTGATGAAACATGTGAGAATTACTCATTATATATCACCAAATAATTGGTGAAAGGGCCGGTCCATGCGCTGTATATTGTTATCGTCTCTGTCATCTCACTGTCTCAGTCCCTTTTCAACGTGCAAACAGTGAACAATATATTTGGGAATAACATGATGACCGTTCTAAGTCACCAATTATTCTAAATGAAGAACTTCGGAGTAAAGGAATGTCCGAATCTCTGATGTGGTCATCAGCGAGAAAGATTCGAGCCAGCTCGAGACTATGCAGAGGCCGTTTTGTCCAATTGATAACGCAGCGTCAGTCTTGATGGAAGTTCAGTGCATAAAAACAATCCTGTGCTTTCCATTTCAGCGAAGTGAATTGTAATTGAAGTTCGAGCAGAAACATGATATTCGCATTATTATATCTGTGAAGTTTGGGAATACTTACTGCGGGTAAGTTTAATTTCGTAAAATACATGATGGCTTTCAACAACATGGCTGATGATCGTGAATTGTATCAAATAATTCAAATATTCATTTGGATGATGTGATTCTTAAGAATTGTATTGCATATATAGTGTTGATTTATATCCGATTACCTTAACGTTCAGATAAATCAATATACTTATTCTTCTGTTGAATAGTCCATATTCCATATCGCCGTTGATGTCTATCACAGCCATGCACGGGCATATTCGTGTGTTTGCTTTTCACTCAATAGTGAATGAAAATTATTGAAATAAGAGTATTTCAAATCAGAAATGAGTTAATTGAATCATCATTGATCACATTATTTCCAAATTAGGTATATTGAATCTTAATTGAGAAAGTGTTATCAAAACTGATTGAATAATTCAATTGTGATCATTCATTGAGATCGATAAAATATTTGTTTGAAACGTTATTGGTGAATTTGTCTCTATTTAGGTAACAAACCCAGAACAAATCTGCTCTGAAGAATACATTTTTGAATCAGCTGTTCATATATGCATTTTTTGTCTGCAGATTGATGTGACTGTCAACGTGTGAAGAAGCCATACTTGATTTCGGAAGGCGAGACCGCATGTACTGATGATTTCAAATTGTGTTAGCTTTGTTCTTTATTAGGAGTACATTGTGATTGTAATTGAATTGTAATCTACTCTGATTTTTAATAAACTTTTGTACTATATATCATATTTACTCAATATTGTATAAAAGTTTTAAAATACTCATTTTGGGTATGAAAGCACTCAATAATGGGCATATACATACTCAATAAATATTCTAGGCACTCAAAAATGAGTTGAAACTCACTCAAGAAATCGCAAAGCTGAAATAATATTCAAATCTGAACTGGGAACATTGACTCAATTGTGATTCCTTATATTCACTCATTCAATTACCATTTCACTCAGTCAAGTACAGTGAAGTTTGACTGAAAATTCACTCATTTTTTTTTTTCAGTGTATATGTTTAGTCATCCTGACAAGAGTTAATCGGATCTTATCATTAATAACACATGGAATAAACATCTGACAACAAACACCAAACTTCTTTGAAAAAAATTTGGAGATATGTCCGAATCTATAACAACTATGAATGTGGCTGGGTGCGAATCGGTGGTGTTCTCGCCGAAAATATTAGAGGTTTGACGTTCTGAGAATACCAATGGAAAATGATTTCTAAAACTACGACCTCAATTATTGTCACTTCCCCCATACCTACATATACTGTTTTCCATATCTTGAACCGCATGAGAGGGAATCCCTATAATGTTCGAAAAATATCCGTGCTTACCTGGGGAGAAAAGGGCGAGGAAATAGGTATTGAATCTTTTTTTGAACCAGTGGAGTTTATAAGTTCTTGGAAATACTTTCATTGGCAAAGAATACCCAATCATTGCCATTCTGTAGAGTGTAGACGAAAGTGTTCCAAGTGTTATTCGATATATTCCGATATTTTATTTTTTATCACCGACTTTTCTACGGTGTTCTATAATGATGTCATATTATTAGTGAGTATGGCTTCAGCTTCACCCACCAGGCGAATGGCTCTTCTCTGGATATGATCTAAAAGCATCAGCGTTAGTTTGGGTGCTGAACCCCATATGTGGGAACAGTATTCTGAAACAGGTATCCATGCTTTGATGATCATGAAGAGCTGTTGAGATCAAAAGTAGATTTTCGCTCGGAATAAAAATCCGAGTTTCTGTGAAGCAGCTAGCTTTCTTGATGGATCGGATATGGTTTTCCCATGGAAGAGTATTAGTGATGGAAATACCGTGCATAGTGGACTTGCTGAGAATTATCCTACCAGACATTGTTATATCAGGCATACTCCGCCTTACTAAAAGAAATACAGGCGTGGGTTTTGGTGGTGTTGAATTCTGCTAGCTTGTTGGTTCCTGGAGGCTGACTTGGTGAGAATTGTGGCACAAGACATTGTTATATTAGGCAAACTTCAACTGTCTAAAGACAATACAGGCTTGAGTTGCGGTGGCGTTGAATTCAACTAACTCATTTTGGTTTCCAAAGCTGTAATTTCGGCAAGATCGTCATTGACAACGTTGACCTGTCGTAAGTTCTTAGTCTCCTGGTGAGGGTTAGGAGTTCTATGGAGTATGGAGAGTACTATCATCTGCAGATCTGTGGATACAAAAATTATTCACTCTCTACAGATCACTGACATGAAGTATGAACAATGCTGGTACCAGAAATGATCTATGTGGAACGCCGCAATTGATGGCAATTATATCAGATGATACTCCGTTCACCACAACATAGAGGGATCGGCCTGAAAAAAAAAACAGATAACAGATGGAATTGCTGAGGTGGTGAGCTGAATGATGGTAGTTTGTGGAGGAGTCCATGGTGCCAAACACGGTCGAATGCTTTTTATATAATCAACGCCACAGCTAGAGGTTTCCCATATTATCCCAATGGAGCTTTCCATATATTGGTGCCGCCGTAATCACGCCAAATGATATACTACAATCACTGATATATCTCAGTATCCGATACTCTGAGTGCCATACAGGATATGAAAATAATTCATTCAAATAATCCCATTTCCTCACTAATTGAAAAGAGATTTCACATTATCCAGGAATATCACAAATATGTCTGCTGCAAGTGGCTTCCCTCACACATTGATATTCCAAGAAACGAGAAGGCAGATATTGCTGCACGATAACCTAGAACCAACCCAGCATCAAGAATCGTCTCAATAGTAGTAGTGAATAACCTTGAAATTTATACAAATCATGAGATATTATGTGGATGGCAGAATCAATGGTCGCAGTCCATATCTGAATCAGCCAGAATTTAATAATTCATATTTCTATTCATGGAAGCGGCTACCTAAAAACCGCAAATGCCAAACAACCCTATTATGATTGAGGATCAGCTGAAGCGCCGCTAATCTGTGACCAAGGTCAAACATGTGCTAACAGAGTGTCTTATGCAAGTTTCGGAATGCTCGAGACATAGTGAACCTGACGATTTTTTTATCGAACTACATATCTAATAAGATACAGAAAAATCGAACTCTGGAGTCTTAGTTGGCCACCCTGTACCTATGAGTAGCCATAGTGTCATATTCCTATTAACAACAACTAATGAATATAGTATGTCCAAATTCTATTTAGGATTGAAACTTCACTTCCACATTAGGAGTGAACTGACTTTCCAACACTACATGTGTCGTCACCCGATAATTATACAAGAAATGTACGGAGTTTTGTGATTTTATAACCATTGATTATCAATTCTATTGACCCTCATAAAGAGGCAATCTTTCGATAATTAGTTTTCATCTCGGAAAAAAGGGGGGTTCTCAGGATTTGGAGAAGGATGATGAATTATTCTGTAAGCTTTGCGATTCTTGCATCTCCTTTCGCCATATAACTTCAGGGCTCAACTAGGCCTCTACCCAAATATATTCCGCTTTCTCGGCCTCTCTGCGAGTGTGTGTTTTTGTCCCTCAGGACACGTCCTGACCTGGATCGTAAAATGTAAATAAGTGTTATATAAAACTGGCAAAGTACTGGAGAGGCAACACCGCCCCCCAATATCAATCTGCCAAAATACTTGCTTGTTTCATCGGAAACCGCTTCCGACTTTATTGGTTGCCGGTTTATTTATTTGTATCGGTTTATGGATACGCTTGTAGGGAAGCAGGGTGATGGTTATTTTCGGCAAGGAAGAGCGTAGAGCGCGAGCCATAAACCTACCCTAATTTCAGGGCAATAGTATCGAAATTGGGTGGGGTTGGCAGGATGACAGGGTTTGGAAAAGGAGGTAATGACGTAGGTGAACAGGTAGGAGGAGCACTTGTTTGCCTCATGGAATATACAGTGTGAGCAAGATAAGGTAGAAGATATGGAATTGGTTGAATGGTACAAAAGTTTGCGCATTCAGAGGGTCATTTCAATAGCATTCATATATTTTCAATATTATATTTATAGTTCGTTGGTAATTTCGAATAACTGAATTCTTGGAAAATCTATTCGATTGATTTTCTAAGTTATCATTGCAGATACAGTAACTGATGACACTTGTCCCTTGCAACTCCTGATGAGATTCAACGTGTTGATATTGATTTCTCGATGCGATGTTTCGTATTCGTAGATTCATACTTGATTCGTTTCCGATTTCGGCAGATTTGGCAGTTCATACCTATGCTGGATACACCATATAGTTGAGTATTCATATTTTTATCAGGAAAGCCTCTAATAAGATTCACATACGTGCTTGATCTGTATTCCACTCGTTATTCTCGAGATCTGATTAATGGGATGACTCGTTTTTCAAAAATCACGGCCGGCAAGACCTCTTTGTCTCCCACAACGATATTGTTCACCTTCATTCGATTACCGAGCAAACACAGTGGAATATGAAGAGAAATGAATAATCACTATTATTATCGTTGATATGCTCACCCACCTAACATTTCTCACTCCTTCTTCCTATACACTGGCGCGGTATTTGCTATTATTACTGACACCTGGTCCGAATGAATTCATCGACTCTTTCATTACTGTCTATATGCTACGCAAAACATCGAATAATATCCTCCCGATATGCAACGATTGTTTCCTCTATGCTGAGAAGTGACCAGATGGTTCGGGAAGGCTTGAATACCTACAGAATGGTTTGGAGATCGTCATCTGGTGCGAAACTGACAGAATGTGATCAGATCCCAGCAGCAGGTCGAATTATTTTATTTTCAATTCATTAACGGGTAACCCAATTACAATAAAATATATATAAATCTCATTCCCTCGATATCTATAAAACGATTCGTAAAGACGAATATGGCTGCAAGTGGCTTTTTCCTAGTGAAAAAACGCGAGTCAAGCAATGACCCACTCCCATTTTATCTGTAATTGGCATTAATTTTGGAGTGTTCCTCTCCTTCTACTCAGGTGGCGTTCGTGTCCATATCGCAAATGCCTTACGCCTTGTCGGTATTGAATCCTGGGATGTGTTTAGTCAGGTTCGCACCAGATGGCGGTCATGAATGCCTTCTGAAGACACCCCTGCACTAATGAGAGCCCAAAGCTCGAAACCGGTCTGTATAGGTAGTCAAGCGTTCTTGAACAATTCAGGCACCTCTCAGCATTTAGAAAAGAATATCTTGCAGCTGTATCCGCCTTTACGAATCGTTGCATAGGTATCGGGAGGATGTAATGTAATATGCTGCGTGGCATATAGCCAGGAGAGTTGTTGTTTTTTTCACGTTATCTACCATTTTCGGTCATTTTATGAACTATTGTGGTAATGAATTTGAGTTTTTGCCTCTTTGTAACCATTTCATTCCACTTTGAGTATTCGGCTTTTTCCTACTTGGAAATATCATCCATTTAGAGGAAGTTTATGTTTTGCTTTCCTTCTCATTATGTATTTTATTTTCATGAGAGTGAGATACTCCTAGAGAATTCCAATTCTTTATCTTCATCGGATACTATGTGAATTCAAAACGATGATCATGATATAGACTTTGATATTTTCGAATCTATATCTTGGCCAAAAGGACAATTCAATCGAGTATGAAAACATTATTGGATGTAGGTACAGAAATTCAAATCCCAAATTAAATAATTATATCTCAATGTAGTGGCATTTCTTGAAGTGTGCCGGCTTTATGTCAAAAATGGCAAAGGTTTACACAACTGAATTTGTGCCTATTATATTAATGATGATACAGTTGAGAACTTTCTGAAACAACAATAATTAGTACATGGTATTGTGGAGACGGAGTCTTATATAATTGCTAATACTCCTGATTCACAACAAATAACATAAATTCAATGAAGCAATGTCACTGATACATCATTGAATAGATTGCAGAAAAACTCAGTTTTTTTTCTATATCACTGTCACTGTGTGGACTGAGATTATTCTCATATTATGTAATGAATACCACAAGTGATACTATTTTGCCGGAAATATTGGGCGATTGGTACGACAGCTTGTTGCCTAATAATTTCGCGAATGACATTCTTTATCATAACTTTCGAGCCGTAGGCGAGAAGTTTTGGAACAATGTCATGACCTAAATTGAAGCATCAAAGGAGAGTATGTCAATCGATACACGGAGAAAAATTATTGTTACCGTAACCAGAATTTTAACCAGAATTCAAGTTAGTATAGGCACAACCAGATAGATTGTTAGTATAACTATTTCTATATAGTTAGCTCCAAATTGTTCTGATAGCTAAATATATATTGTTATTATGATATCATCAATGCACGGTCACCTCTACCATATCTATCTCGTCTTTCTAACAATATTATATTGTTATACTCACAATAATATATCGCAAACCAATCATTATTTCTTCGTTAGAATAACAATAATAGTGTTATCGTAACCAGACAGTTCTGTTAATTCAACAATATAATATTGATCTAGGGATCAGAATATCTTGTCATCCCAACTACATTATATTGTTCTCATGAGTAGATTATCTTGTTACCATAACTAGAAAACTTTGATATTCTAACAAGAATATCGTGTTATTCTAACTTGATTATATTGTTGTTCTAACTGAATGATATTGTCCTAACTGGATTATTTTGCTGTCCCAACTAGATCGTATTTTCACCATAACAATATAATATTGTCGTACTTACGATGCCACTATGTCACAATCACTATATGATTTTGTCACCAAATTTTCATCACATTAATACTCCAACTATACCCATATCGTTACGTTAACAACATATTATTGTTAATCTAACCATATCGTATCGTCGTGTTATCATTTTTCACAGGGCGTTTTAGAACATGTGCATGGTATTTCAATATATGACCCCTCATGAGACATAATATATAACAGTTAGAATGCAGATCTAATTTTTTAAGAATCCTTCTTCTTCTGTTGGAGGGATTTCATGGAATTCTTAGATACTTACAAACTGAACTCTCCTTGCCGATCAAGATAGTTGATTCGAAATGATTTCAGGATTTCATTAAGGAAAGTTTCACACAGAGAAATGTTGAGTTGAATATTGCTCCAAAATGTCAGCTGTACGGTCGGACTGAATGTCTCATAAAAAAAATAATTTTCTCCAAATGAAATTAAAAATGGCTTTTTAATGACACTAACAGAGAAGGTGTACTTTTACTGCCTAGGCAGAAAAAGTACTGCCTATAGACAAAAAAAGTTTGTTGCTATGCGAGTAATATTATGTATCAAATTCGTAATCAAAATTGACAATGACAATGGGTGAACACAAATTGATGGATTATTTGAACATGGCGTGAAATTGAGACAAATTTGGAAAAAAAATTATATGTTTCACATATCTTCTCTTCCTAGTAAAACAAATAACTATTTTTCCATCAAATATATAATGTTCAGAATACTTTATTGAATATTGAAGATCAACTATAAAGGACTACATCTAATGACAGATCCGGATTATTCAATATTTCCTCCACGATTTTTGACACAAAATGTGCAGTTGATATGTCACAAGGACTGGCTGGCTTGATGTCTTTCGTTTGCCTGGAATGCCTGGTAGTGGCGGAAAAATTTCAATCGGTCTCCGATTGTTGGTATCAAATCTTTGAGTACCTCTTCACTCAGATAATTGAAAGCTCATCTATTCCCTGCTCTGAAATTGTAAACAAACAATAAATTATCAATAGAGCTCTTCTTATATTCATAATTATATATTTGGGCGCAAGGAAACCGCGGTCGAACTATTATTGTAAACCAAACTGCGTTTTCGGAAGGAATTCTGAATATGGAAAAATGTACAAAGTGCATAATTATCACTGATCGCGGTCAAACTAACTGAAAAATTTAACGGCCACTGATTAATTCAAATGCGTTGGTATGCACTTATACAGTGAGTGAATTGGTTCTTCGATACTGGTAATAACAGACAAACGAGTAGGCAATCAATCAGTCAATAAAAATATTTTCATTGTGATACCTACCTAGATCATATTGTTACCTCAAGTTAAATTGTTATACCTTTACTCACTACAAAAACCCGTGTAGGTAGGTACTCATAGCAGTATTCTATTTTTAACGATATCATATTGTCATCGGATCATTTAGCTAGATTACCATGTAGGTTATTTACAAAATTCCCAATTGATCATTGAATAGGTACCTTCCTATCATTTTCTACCTATTATTTCATTTGATACACAGAGAGAGATAAGAATTGGATTAACTTACCTCCAATTATTAGCACAAGGTGATCTAATGACCATGATTTTGATAAATACTCCACAGAACTCCCCATTGCTTGAGACTAGTCAGCCACACACTGAATTGAATAACGTTTCCATGATTAGAATAAACACAAACTTCACATTAATGAAAATAATCAGAACAATGAACAAGTGTATTTGTTTCGCCCAACCTGCTCAACTTCAACCGTAATCTTTCCGTAATACAATAATACTAAGGAATATGCATTATGAGGAGTGATACGTGGGGATATGACGCGAGGATAGTCGTTTTGATTGGCTGGAAAATCTAGTAAAATAAGTGGATAACCCTATGTTCTGGTTACTAGGACAATTCATGTGACAATCACTATATCGTGAGGATAGCTCCCGGTGGTTATAGTGATGATTACCTTTTATTATGGTTATACCAACTATTTAATTGACGATAATATATAGTTTGGATGCCTATGAATATTTCTAGTGAGGTTCACAATGAATTATGGTTATACTAACTATATCAAGCTAACTATATGAATTATGTGTCCATGACAATGTCATATCTGGAGGCCACGTCATGGTAACTGAAAATCTGGTTACGTTAACCAAAATAATTTCAACATTATATTTCAGTTAGAATTCACTACACTAATTCTTTCCGTGTATATATTTCCAGACGTTGGTAGAAGTCCATTGTAGCTCAAAGTGGAGTGATAGGGTTCATATCCAATGAGAAAAGCACGGAGTCATCTCCAAGACTTTTTAATTTGAAAACATCAATTCATATAGGAACATGTTTCGAACATATGCAATGTCCATCTTCAGCCTATGCTGAGAAATCATGGAAATGAAAAGGTTATGTTCCATTTTTTTTCAAATTATTGATAAAAAATGAGGGTTTTTTTAAGGGGTCCCCCCAACCCCCAAAACTAGAAAATCGAATTATGGAGGACGATGAGGCCCCACAATTAACAATAGTTTGCTGATTGTCGATCCTTATCGTCCTCCATAATTTCCCAGTTTCGGCGGTTGGGACTCCTTGAATAACCCTTCTTTTTTATCAATAATTCTTTGAGAATATGTAACATAACCTTTTCATTTCCATAAATTCCTAGAATAGGCTGAGGATGGACATTGCATATCTCCGAAACATGTTCCTAATTTGATGTTTTCAAATTGAGAATTCGTGGAGATGACTCTGTGCTTTTCTCATTGGATAAGATATATTTCCAGGAATAATAGTATCACGAGTTGTATTCGTATTAATATTTCATGATTGAGACGATAAACCAGCGCCTCGCGAGAGTTGCGCACACTTCATCCATTATTCTAGCTTCCAACATGATTGACGTTTCAGATGTCAAAAATGTTAATGCAGAAAAACGAGGTTGGTTGGGCACGTGTATATATTATCAATATTTAGTTGTAAAACTAATTCATTTACAATAGTAAATACATTCACATTATGAATAATCTCAGATTGACATGTAAAAATACAATATCAGTCTGATTAAAAAATACATACGAGAAAATGAAGAACTAGGTACATAAAGAGTCATTCATAATAATTATATTCCAATTTTTCATTGAATAATTCTTCAATCGTCTTTTCCATGTATTTATCGAACCACTCTCTTTAATTACTTGTAGAAGGTAATTAAAACAATCTATACTTCCTTATAAAATAGGGAATTAGGTGTATTATACTTTTATATTTTTCAATTTTCATACAGTTTCTGTTTCTTGTATTATACTCATGTATTTCAGCCACATATGTTGATTTATTCTGTAGATATACAGGTGAATATGCAATTTTGATTTCAAAAATGGAAATGAGTGTTTGGTACTCAAAGAGTTTTTCCACTGGTAGCCATTGTAGGGTTTGCAACATATTTACTATCGCGGTGTTATCATCAAACATTGTAAGATTATTCGCATAGCACGATTCTGCATCTTTCGTAGTCTGTATATTTCATTCTGGTTGAGGAAAAACAGAATGATGGTACAGTTATTCAAACGTGGAAGAATTATGGAGCTGTATACTAATGGTTTTGGACCACTGGTTCAGATATGGGGAATATCTTCTTGAATAATTGTTTTGATGACCTGATCAGCATGTTCCTTGAATTCCAATTCATTGTCAATTGTACACGGATTTATTTACTTTTTCCATATCGATGCCATTCAATCTTAGAAGGAGATTTTCATTATTATGATCTTCATGTTTCCCTAATAACATTCATTTTGTTCCATTTATGTTAACCTTCAGCAGATTTGCACAGCAATATCTATACACCCTTTCAAGACCAGCGTTCATATAGTATCAACACACTCATCTACATCATCACTACTGAAGTACAGTATTGGTAGAGCAAGTCCGATAAAATTTATAGAAAAACAAAATATCGCTGTGATACTGGAGAAACCGTGAAGAAGGACGATTCTGATCGATTATCAAGAACAAGAGTGGAATTTCTCAAAAGGAAATATTATTCGTATAGACGCTAAATACAGCAAACAAATCCACATCATTAAATCCTATTAAAATGCGACTATCATATCTCGAAATTTCAATGGAACATATTCGTGAAGGAGACATTTATCAAAATTTATGACAATACTTGATGAAGCGATTTCCATTTTCGATTCAAGGATCCTGATGGGTATAATCAATATGAACCCTAATGCGAAAATGAAAATATCATCATGAGCCAAATGATAAATGATGTTGCACTAACGAAAGCGTTGTACCGGGTGATTCATTAAGGGTAGCGAGGTACCATATCTCAGGAACTAGAAGTTGTACGAGGTTGAGAAAAAAATTCTATCGAGAAAATCGACCAAGGGAAATTGTTGGAAATAGTTTTTTAGTTTCTATATCTACCGCTGGAGGGCGTAATTGCTATGGTCGTATAAAAAATTGATTTTTCCAGCGAATTTTTCAACATGAGCTGAGGAACAGAAGCTATCACACTAATGCTGTTAAAATAGTGCATCTTTTTGTTTCTACACTTCTTTTCGTACGATGTGAAATAAGGGCGGTAGACGAGGTTGAACCTTTCCTGACTAAAATACCTATACCTTTAATTTGACTGAACGGAATTCAGCAAACTCGGTCTCGTTCGAGAGAGTAATGTTTGTTGATTGAATTAAAGTCATGCTGGTTCCAGCTGCACTCACTAGGGGGCCTAATTAAAACATTTCTGAATTTTTTGATTTTTCCTTAAAATTTGGAATGAAATGATATAATTATTTCATCAGTTTCGGAAAGTGAATGAAATTTGCAAGAAATTAATTCAAACCGCATGTTGATATCTTCATTCGTTTCAAAGTTATCGTCTAAAGAATATTTATTAATGAAATTATTGAAGAAACAATCCATTCTTCTATTTTTTAAATTTCCTTGGAAACGACCAGTTGTCATGAATTGTTCAATTTGTTTGTGACAGATAAACGCAATTATTTGTTCGAAGTAGCAATTTATATTCTTTGAAATATGCCGATCACGAACGAGGAAGCGTTTGATATGTTGGCTGTTTATTTCAAGAGTTTTCAAAATGCTGTTATTGCCGAAAGAGAATATGCATTCAGATATCCAGCAAAACCTCATCACTCAAGACTAGTTTTTAAAAGATTAGCGAGACGGTTAAAGGATACTGGACTAATCCGTCCAGTCCCAGCTCGAAATAGATAACGTAGAGCAAGAAACGAAATAAATACTATAAATGTCATAGTCTATATTACTGCTCACTCTCGTTCAAGTATTCGAGATTTGGTAAGAGATCTAGGATTGTCATATTCTTCAATCCAACATATATTAAGAGATCACAAGTTTCATCCATACCATGTCATGTTACATCAAGAATTAAAACCTGCCGATTTCGACCATCGATTGAATTATTGCCAGTGGCTATTGGGAATGGTGAATGAAAACAGAAATTTTCTTTCGCAAATACTATGGAGTGACGAAGCCAGTTTTTCCAGTTCAGGAAAAGTTAATATACATAATATGCACTATTGGTCAGAAACGAATCCTCACTGGTAAAATCAAAAAATTCAGAAATGTTTTAATTAGGCCCCCTAGTGAGTGCAGCTGGAACCAGCATGACACTGGTGTTCCTTCAATTCAATCAACAAACATTACTCTCTCGAACGAGACCAAGTTTGCTGAATTCCGTTCAGTCAAATTAAAGGTATAGGTATTTTAGTCAGGAAAGGTTCAACCTCGTCTACCGCCCTTATTTCACATCGTACGAAAAGAAGTGTAGGAACAAAAAGATGCACTATTTTAACAGCATTAGCGTGATAGCTTCTGTTCCTCAGCTCATGTTGAAAAATTCGCTGGAAAAATCAATTTTTTATACGACCATAGCAATTACGCCCTCCAGCGGTAGATATAGAAACTAAAAAACTATTTCCAGCAATTTCCCTTGGTCGAGTTCCTCGATAGAATTTTCTTCTCAACCTCGTACGACTTCTAGTTCCTGAGATATGGTACCTCGCTACCCTTAATGAATCACCCGGTACAATGATGCACACAAAGTGGGTGAAGTAGCGTGAATAGTGACAGAATTATACAGGGTGTGGTTGAAGTAAAAACCTTTCAGGAGCTGACTGTGACGTCATTTCCAAAATACATCAACCTATACGGCTCCATTTATTATAGAAAACATCATTGAGGCAAGAATACATGCATATTATTAAAATTATTCTTGAAAGAAGGTCAGAAGCCTGGAATCCAACATTCGTTTGGTCGTGTATCTCAAATATCGAGATGGATATGGACGAAACCGATATATAGGGTGTATGGAAATGTCATGTAGTGATTGACAGGACACACAGAGTGAGCCAAAATGATCTCAGTACTTCATTTTGAAAAATCTCTATCGCTCTGCATCACAGAGTTATTGACCTAGAAAGTTCGAATGGAGATAAAATATTTCATGTATAACTTTCAAAAGGTTTGCCATGATATCAATGACATTGGAGCAACTGAATAACCGCATAATAATGCTCCTTTCGATATACAGGGTGGTCCGTTTTTTAATACGGAAAATTCAACAGCGTATAGTACTCGTTGAAATAATGAAAAAACTTCCTATGAACATATACTTTTAAACGCTTCGTTTTTGAGATATTGGGTGTCAAAAATACTCTTCTGAATATATTTTTTTTTTAATCAAAAGTTAGAAACGGTAGATAAATTAACGAAATTTTTCACAGATACTAAACTTTGTGAGCTTTATTAGATTAAATAAGAATTATTCATAAAAACTATTCAGTGGCGGCTGAATC